TAGGGTGGATTGACCCTTTTTTCCTAAAGCAAGGGGCACTCTCCCAAAGCACTGTACAAAACAACATTCATTATCACTCCTGATTTGTACTGGTCCACGAACGATATATAGTCTAAAATGTTTGAAATAGAATGCAATAATGCTTTCCTATGATAAACAGAAAAATGGACTTAAAATCACAAAATTTTATAAAGCTATAAATAAGGTAAGATAATTTACAGGGAATATAGCAGTATTTTTCAGAGACCCTAGAGTCTAATACACTCAGATGCCAAAATATTTCATAATACTAAGAGGAGCTTAGACATTTAAATAATAAAAGTTATGACTATTATAAAGTGTTAAGAAAGCTCAAATGGAGCCCTTAGGAAAAAGAAAGTTTATTTGGGAGGAGTTTCATTCTATATAAAAGATTAATTTTTTGGAATTTAGAACAATAAAAGGTTATATTTCAAATAATAATGTACTGCTTTCCAGGGGAGATATTTTCAACCGCCTAATGTTAAAAAGATGACAAAGCAGGAAAAACAGAATGAACACGTCAGTCAGCATTAAGAAAGAATCTGTGCAATTAACTGTCAGATAAAATAACATTAATAATGTATTTATATTTACTTTTAGGGCCATAATTATGTACTAATATAAAGTTAACCTTATATAAAAATTTATAAGTACCAATTTTGATCAGTGTGAAATAAAGTTATAGCCAGGTTAATGCTCTATATAGCATTTAATTTTAATTTTCTATTGTAAAATCATATTATTATACTAAAGCACATAAAATTTGCAATCAGCATAGAAGCTTCAAATCCTTTTTGTTAATTGGCAACTGTGGTACAGCATGAAGCATCGTTCTTTCCCAGTACTTTCATTTTAAACAAATCATCCTCACGTATAAAAATAGAAAATTGCATTAAATTTTATATAAGACGTTTTCTGTCTCTCATATAGAAGAGCTGTATGCAGCTTCCATGGCAAGTATCACAGCAAACAGCTTTGAGTACATTCTCTGGTAAAACACCATTCATAGAGATATAAGATACAGCCTTCATCGACTTACTGCTTAAAATATACTACAAGTAAGAAAATGTAGGCTTAAATTAAAAAACTGACAAAAATGGTCCAACAGCTTAACTGGTAAGTTCTGATATTCTACACTCTCCAAATTGAGAAGTAAAGTATTTTGCTGTATCTCCTAGTTCTGACTTTGTAACACTTGACACAAAATCTTAATTCTAAAACTGATGATACATTAATAGCTACTTTATTCATATCTTCCAAACTCAAATCAGAATGCTAGATAGTTTAGCAGTAGCTACATAGTCCTGTAAACATCATTACTAAACCTTGACTAGTTTTACACAGTAATTGCTAATCTACTTTATGCATTCTCTGGTTCAAGGCACAAAGATGCTTCCATATCTACTTTGTCATAAACAACTTTTAAAAATAAAAAAAATATAAATGTGTTGGATACATTTTTAACAGATTCATTTCTAGGTCTTGGCATATAAATATTAGTGGGCAGACCAACTTCATAGTTTAAGTCAGAAAGCGTGTTTAATAGAGGAAGTTTCAAAAAATCAATCTTTCTGTTCCTTTTCTAATGAATTTCCGAGGATGAAGAGCAATCTTGAAAACTGGCAAATTCCCTCTCATCAGACAGGTGGATCTTATATTCTCCAGAAAAGTAAAAGATATTATATCAGCCCTGTTATGGAAAGGGAACTGTTAAGATTTGAAACTCAGTAACAAACTGTAAAAATCTTTTCTTTTGCGTAAATATAGCTAATTGTGCCTCAAAGGAGAAAAAAAAAATCTGAGCACAATCAAATTTACTGCAGTAATAGCTTCTAATACCCTAAAGAAAATATCTTATGATTTAAATTCTTGTACTCATCATTCAAAGAACTTGTAAAAACATGTCACCACTATCAGTACTCAGAATAAGGCAAAATAAAATGTTAGAACTTCAAGATTCACTGTTCAGCAATAAAAGTGTTTTTTGTGTTTGCTTTTGGAAGGAGAAGTTAACTAGGAAGTTAAATACGGTTGGCAAAAAATATTTCACTCTTCTCTAGATATGAAAAATTATCTGGCCCAGGATAATATCTATAACCCATAATTTACTGGTACAGGTAAGCAATTTTTTCTTTATCATTTTACATATTCTTACTTAGATGCCTAGTAAATTAGACAGAGAAACACAAATCTGTAAATTATTTATGGCTCGTTTGTGCCTCAAAGATATTACATAATATCCGAAGACCTGAAAACCAAACTAAACTACTTTTTAATAGGATTTAAATGGTTAAGCATTGGCTGTGCAAAACACAAGAAGGAAATGTACTGAACTAACAGGGAAATGAGAAAAATTATTTTCAAAGCTCGGGAAGATAGCCACAGAATATTACTTGTGTACTGATCATACTAAAGATTTTGTGTAATTAATAAACAATTAGATAGTAACAGTTTGAGGTGCACCTCCCTTTTTCCGTTAGTTAATTTTTGTCTGTGACCCAAAATCATGCCTCTCATACAGCAGGCATCCAATAAGCATTTTTGAATGCCTGTTTATACCCATTCAAAGAAATTAATTGGTAAATAAAGTTTGCCTGAACGTATTTGTCTATTCGACATACAGAATCAGACTATTTTAATTTGCCAATCAGACATACGCTTTTAAACATAGACATAATTTCACTGAGATACACACTTTCCACATAAAACTAAATACCACATCTGCGGCATAATCTATAACACATAACATGGTGTTTTACACACATACCATTTCCCTGTTTCACTTCTGCAATTTTTAAGTGTTGATGAATTACTCCTTGCCAAGGAAGTCACGTTATATACAACAAAACCTTCAGTTTAAATAAGGGATAAGCTTGCTGTTAACAGCTTAGTTTGAAATGTTAACAACCCTTAGGCTGTTAACATAACAACTGGCCATTAATGTGGTAATGACCAATTTAAGAGGAAATTGTACTCTGAGAAATGAATATATTGGCAATCAGGACCAGGGTTTAAATTTGAAAGAGTATGATTTTTTAAAAATAAGGTAACAAGATTAAAAGTTTGAGCCTATCAGAAATCAAGTAAAAGTTGCATCACAAAAAGCAACATATAGACTCTTTTAGAGATAAAGATTTCTGAGATGAAAACTATTTTGATAAATTCCCTTCAACAATACACTTAAGACTATCAAACACCAGTTGAACAACTTACTTTTATTACCATAAGGAAGATTAAAACAACACAAGGTTACTTTCTCTGCTCTCTACTATGTAGACAACTGCAAAAGTTTCACTCACGACATATGTATTTCACTGGCAAATTTACATTTCTGATTTAAAAATATCCAGAGATTTCAAGAGACTCTCTTTAAATCTGACTTAATTTTTGTCTTTATTGCTTATTAGAACACTTTAATCTTGCCCAGACTATATAAACTCCTTGTTTGGTTACATGAATCCACTGGAGATACTGCAAATGTAAACAAAAGTCAAAGACAGAGTCCAAAAGCCCACGGCTATTGGTTAGGAAGATAAAGCAAAAGTAGGAAGCAAAGTCAAGTCACTAAAAGCAAATACAAAGACTCTATGTAGAAATCAGGCTCTAATTCACAACGAGCAGAGGAGAAATTTTTATTTGCAAGAGGAAAGTTCCAAGACCGTAGAGCCTGAACGAATTCGCGGAATAGCTTAATTCCGATTAGTTGTGTTAGTTAGGGAACTCCTTGCCTATAGTCACATTCCATTCCCATTGCTGGCATCTTACATGTATTTTGTGCCCCTGGAACACAGAGTAGTAGTAGCAAGTGGTTATAATTAGTCAGGGGGCTGTCAGATGAAGCGGTCCTAAGATGGGAGAGAGTAGAATCTGATAAACAGTACTGGACTCACCCTCTTGTAATGACCATTCATCAAACAATATGTTCTTTTATATAAACATTGAATTGGACTGAAAGTAACTGAATTATATACGAAGCAGCACCAAATTCCCTAGAAAACACCTCCTGAAATGACCAAGGAGTTACTGCTGATTGATAAATTTTGTGTCATAAGGGAAAAAAATTCAAAATGAATCACTTAATGTCAGACTAGAAAAATGATTAATTGTATCAAATATGAAAACCCAAATGATGCCATATATCATTTCTCTAATTTGATAGATCCTACTTTGTTAATATCAGTAATTTGCAGCTGAATGAAATCACAAAATTCCCTGAAAAGCAAAATAATTTTTCTTAAATACCAGTCCATGTGTTGAGTACTAAACGCTAAGATACAAGTTTAGTCTGCTTCATGGCTTCAGAAGCAAGAACATCTGTGCTGTCCTGAAACCGTTCAGATATTTACAGTTTGGAGAGTGGCTATCATTTCCCCATAATGATGGAGGTCTTTACTTTGTTATTTTCCATAAAGCTACTGGCAAGACTTAGGCTGTTCGACTTTCAGTACTATCTTTGCGAAGATCACCTGGAATGCCATGGTGGGTGGAGGGAGGTGTATTCACACTTGGGGAAAGTTTTCAACACTGTCCGATAAACACCTTACTAATAAATGCCAGTTAAGAGTTTCAAATTGACTTTCTCAGACAAATCTGAAACAGAAATATCACTGGATTACTTTGTGCTATACTCAGCCTGACCTTGTCACTTTTGTGCGAATAAAACATCTTGCATGCTGATTTCTACCAAATACATCCTTGATGTGAACTGGCAGTTTCCATACAGGCAGTGGAATAACCTATCCCCAGGTAGGAGCATCAGGTAAGGCAAATAAATGGGAACACTTTGAGATATCGTGTTTTCCTGGCCGTTGCTGAAGCGATCATTTGTGGAACAGGCACCTGGCAGCATTTTGAAGGCTGCTAGGTGGACATCTTTCAGGAATAGAGGCTAGTAGGAAGGAAATGAAACCCACAAAGACACTTACAAAGGTATTTTAAAAGGAATCCAGTCATCACTGGTGTGCAAGGCTAATTCCTACCTCAGATAGTCTCTGCGACAAAGGATAAGGTTAGCTTTAGTGTACAGGGTGGAGCCCACCTCTCCCAAACGACAGTCACAGCAGGCACACTTCAGGCAGTCCTCATGCCAGTATTTGTCCAGTGCCTTTAGAAGATATCGGTCCTTGATCTTTCGGTTGCAGCCAGCACAACCTTTCGGCTTGTTGTCTGGCTGGACTGAGAGCATTTGTATACCTAAAGGGAGACAAGAAAAAAAAAGAGAGCTGGGACTCCAAGAAAGAATCAGAAGATGTCCAAAGACCTCCACCAAGTTAAACATTTCAGATTGCCTTTTTCAAGGGGTGTTAGACGTTCTTTTTGAGGGCCATACACATATAGAACTAAATTTTGGAAACAAAAGAGTCTCAAACTTTGTTAAGCCCTTGTTAAACCATTTACGAAGTCACACCTATAAAGTGGTAAAACAAAGGATTCATGTTGCACCTGGTAAGTTGATATTATATACACGAAGAAGTAATATTAAATAATTTTATAGTGTCCCCATTTTCTACATAAAGAAGTTCCTTTCGGGAGAAAATATGAGTAAATGGCTAACAATCTCAAAGAAAGCTGTTTAACAAAGTAGTCTGTGCACAGGCTGCAGAAGTCAAAAATGAGTTTTCCTTTATTGGTTAAAAATTTCACTTAACACGGGCTTGATGGCAGAAGGAAAGTGCACCCTTATGGGATGCACTAACCTCACTTAGCAGTAGAGATGTTTATACTTAAGCAGAGTACAGTCTCCCGAAAAGCTCACCAATGCTATAATACTTGTTTGCCTCCAAAGACTTCCCCCCTGTGCCCTTGATATTTCAAAGTATTCATTGTGTTAAAAATTTTTTTAAATGTACTTACACTCACAAGCATCAGTCAGTGCTTCTACTAATGGCAGATTACCTAACTATATACTACATGCTTTTATATAAAATTAAACTATAGGATTATGTAATTTATTATCATAAACATGCACTTATTTATTTTATAAAGGAAAGAAAAAACAATAGAGGACAAAGTCTAAATATATATAAGGTTACCCAAACATCCATATGCAAATATATATTATATACATATATTACATACATACTAGACTAGACACAGGGACATTTATATATTTTAGAGACATATCTCCATCATAAATAAGGAGTCTAGCTGAGTTCTATGGGTGTTACAACCTGACTGAAATTTTTTCAATGAAAGGGTATTTGCCTTTGAGTTTCTTCTCTCCTAAATGTCAAATACCCAGCTTTTAAAAAAGCTGGACCAACTATTCAGAGCTTCATACTTATCAAATAACTCATTTCAAGCACTATAAAGTACTGTAGACTTCGATTCCAAATTCCTTCGTTTTACAAATTATGATACAGAGGCCTAAGAGAGGTTAAGGGACTTGCTCAAAGCTGAATGACAGTTAAGCACTAGACTTGGTGGCCTTCTTACAGTCCAGAGATCTTGCTGCTAAATTATGCCTCCTCTCTAAGGCATAAAGTTTTAAACTTGAACATAGAATGACACAAGACACCAAATGCCTGCACTTGAAACAGTCTCAAGTAAGAAATGCCAAGCTCTAATCCAAAGCATTTTCGGTGTGTTTCCTGCTCCAAAATAGCTAAACCTTCAGTTTCCTCTGATGCCTGATGATGAAGCCTGCACCCTCATTATCTTTACAATCTTTTTCTTTTTTAATCACACTGTTAAGAGACATCAAGACACAGTACCCTCACAGCAGAATAACTTTTCTAGCTACAAATGATACATGAATTTCACATAATAGTGTTATAATGTTGAACTTCCATTAGAAAATAACTTCTCTGATAGAGTGATGGAGCAGGGACCGGCAGTGAGGCATCGAGGTAGCTACTCTTTCTGCATGGGATGCAGAGCCGTGGTCCTCGGAGCTGCAGACTAGCAGCTGGATTTGTACAGAACAGCAGGTGGTATTCCTATAGCCGGCTCTCTATTCCTTTTCTTTGAAGGAGCTCAGGGTCTAGTGTAGATTAATCATAACCCTTGATAGCTCTGCTAAATCTCATTCTCTAGAACTTCTAACAAATGAAGTGTCTTTGATCAGAACTAGTTACCATCTTCTCGCAAGGTTCCACAAGGAATGAATCCCATTAATTACAGTACAGAACGTACCCAGGTGCCTCTTAACCAACTACCTGGGGGAGGGAGAGACTGTGATTTACTAAATGACATTCCGGATTGCATGACTGAAAACATCTTGAGATGTATTAACAGTGGCTATTCTAGTTATCCAATTTATAAGGCTATTATTTTTTTATATCACCAAGCTGAAAATTTTTTGTCCAAATCCTTCTTAGTTGTAGCTAAGCTCTGTTTCTCTGAGTTGTGTTAGCATCATCAAGCGTGGAAGGTCACCTATCTTTATTCACAATGCTTTGCAACCAAGACAGGGGGTACCAACATTTGGGACAACTCTACCCTGCTTGTCTTCACAAAATGTTTTTGTTGTGCTGACATTTTAATTTAGCACTCAGAGGCCAATTAATATTTGAAACTCTTACACTCTGTTTGGTCTTGGGCATAGAAGGAGTTTGATATTTTCTGCTCCATCCTGGTACCTTCCTGCAGAAAACATCATCCCATTGCTCTTGAAAAGGAAATGTTTTCGATACTCTGCAAGTTAACAGTTGTAGAAAAAAGAACTATTTTGTAGTCACCACGTTGCCATGTACCTAAACAGGCATAAAGCAGTCGGCAGCCTCTCTTCAGCATCCAGCAGAACGCGTCTGGGTAGAGTTATGTGTTCGGAGCTGAGAAACATTTCACAAGTTGCTTATAGCACATCAGGACTCATAACTAGTTTTAGATTGGCATGTAAATTGTTCCGAGGGAAATTCTTATTGCCTCTGAGACCCTGCCATTCTGAGTTATTTGACAGTTTAAGGGAAATCATAATTAAAAAAAGACATAAATAATAGCCTGTGCAGTGTGGTGTGCAGAAATAAGTAGAACCATTTCATTTAAACTCTGGTGAGCTTTTAATTGCCTGGATTGCATTGTGAGGCGGCCTAACGGTTGATTGCCTCCATTATGTTCCCTTGTTCTGTGCCATTCATCCGCGCAGTCTCAGCTTCAGTAGTTAACACAACAAAGTAACCACAACTCCACAACATACAGGGGCTTAAAAAAATAATAATCATAATAAAAGGTTTGCAGCACTTAGACCCAGTCTTTCATATTTTTGGACTAACTACACGTAGTGAATGGAAAACATTTTGTCCCCTTCGGAAGATTCACAGAGGACAATTTGGGAGAAGGAAAAGGAAGAGGGAATACATAAAGGGGGTTGGCAGAGATGAGGTGCCTCAGGAAGATGCGAAAATGGGAATGCAGGTTCTGCAGCTGGGAGCAGTGACACAGATTAAAAGAATTTGGCCAACACCGGCCATTCGATTGCCAAGAGGTACCAAACAAAAGATTTTCTCTCCTCCTGCCCATCTTCATCCTCTCCCCAGCCCCCAGCCCGGACTGGAGAACTGGATTGGGCCTAAAAGCTTGTTTCTCTCTGTTCACTGGCCCAGAGCATCCCTACAGGCTGCAGCCCCCTAAGGGACAACAATGCAAATAGATGTCCCCAGATCTCAGGCGCTGGAGCTGCTTAACTCTGTTCTGCCCCTTCAACTCCCAACCCCCTCCCCATCCTTCCACCCCCCCTCTCCCCTTTCTGAGCAATGGAGCTGGGAACCAATTTGATTCCCTTTTTCTCCAATGCAGCTGCAAGGCTCAGAGATACTGACATTTTTCCACTCTTATCAGTTTAATTACAGTTACCATGGCAGCAAAGTGCTAGTGCTTGGCAAAGGCCAACAAGAGATTTGCAAGACTGAGTTCAATTTTGATGCAGCTCACATGCAAAATAAAAAAAAAAAAAATAAGAAACATACATACACTCTAACAAAGAATCCCTTGAGGAGTTTATGCTCCAGCCTTTTGTGGTTGTGTCTTTGCAGCCACACAGGGATGATTTGCAAAGAATGTAGCAGTTTTTGTTGCACCTAGCAAGATTAATTGGTTTAAGCAGCAGTCTTTCAAAGCAGTTACAACAATAATATTTCGGATCTTTTCGAAAGACACAAAAGCAGCGGAAGAGCAGGAAGGCTTTGGAGTAGCCGAGAGTGCCGAGCGCCGGCAAAGTGCATCTATGATAGATTGTAACCTTACCAAAACTTTTCTCCTTTTTCTGCATGAGTTGATTTAGGCGTGCCTGAGTTGCAGCGGCTTCGCATTGAGCGCCCAGCCCAAAGGTAGAAGTGGAAGGGGGTCTCTCGGTTTTAGCTCAAGTGCGGACCTGGTGCGCAGCCTACACCTCGGAGGACGGACTATTGTGAAGCCACTTTGGGAGCGGGTCGGAGCGGCGGCGCGGGGGGTGGAGGAAAGGACGAGGGCGGCCAGACGAGACACGGCGCACACACGGAGCCCCTCGCCTTGTGGCAGTGTGCAAAATGATGGCGAATGACAAAGCCACATGCTTCCCTAACTCTGCCCGTAATCCTAAAATCCCAGCGGCCCCTTTTAGCGTCGTGGTAACAAATGGATTTGATTAAACTGTCACATGCAGCGTTAGCATAGCATATCATGTTCAATATGAAAAAGATCATAAATCTGACTTGTATTTCATAACAGCAATCTGGGTAGCCCCCATAAAAATGTGCCGCAGCAGTTTGAATCTCAGCCTATTAGGACAGAGGCACCTTGCCCCACGGAACCTCTCTCTTCTCGCCACTTCTCCCAACCGCCCCCTCCCCCCGCAGACAGTCACTTTTCCATCTCGTAGGAACGGTATTTCGTTATTATGGCAGAGTGGGCAGAGGCAGAAGTGGCCACCAGAACCCAAAAATGGTCATTTCAACTCCTGGGGGAGGGGGGGTGATGAATTCCAGCAAGTAAGGGGAGGAGGGTCGGGAACCCACCTAAGACTGAATTCCCTTCCTACGGGCCGGCCCAAATCGAACATCTCCTTCCAAACTCTCTCAAGCCCCTGTCTCCCCGGGAGTCGGGGCTGTGGAAATACTGCAGTTCCTCGTGAACTTTGACTATTATCCACTCGAGTCGTACTTGAGACGTTCCGCGCCGCAGCTGCTCTGCTCTCCCTCCTTCCATCAACATCCGCCCGCATCTATTTCACGTCTCATCATAAAAATAATGAAGCCTCACATGACTTAAACAAAACGGTCTCAGCAGAGCTGCAGCCCGAGTGAAAGTTGCAGTGCTGAGCTGGGCTGCAGCTCCAGTTTATGCCTCATTAGGAGAGGCTAAAGAAGAAAAAAATCCCCACATCCGTACACGCACGCGCGCACCCGCAGACACACACACACCACAAATAAGCCGCCGCGTGTACACCCAGTTGCTGCACTTACCTTCTCAATTAAGCGATACAGGGGGAGGCCGTTCAGAAAGCACAGTGGCTGCTTTGTAGCGCTTCTCCTTGGGAAAGGTCAAAAAGAAGCATTGCTTTGAAAAAAAAAAAAAAAAAAAGAGGGGGAGGGAATCTATTTTTTTTTTAAGTTTAAAATAATGAGGTCCTCAAGGATCCGCCAAGTAATGGTGTTGACCGCATCTGAGCCACAGGTGTCCTCCTTTTAGGCACTGCAGTCCAAGGCTGTCTCTCTCAGTCCTGGCTCAAGACAACTTACCCCAGGAGCACGCCAGGAGCCGAGCTGAAGGAAGCCCCGGCTCTCAGCTGCAAAATGCAATCCCTTCCCAGCCAGACAGAATACAGCCAAAGAAAAGGTCACTCTGTTATTACTGAGCCGGCGGAGCCCAGGCAGCGCTTGTCAAGACCACAGAGAAGCAGCTCCCTTCCGATTTAAGACTATTTACCTCTCGCCCCCCACCCCTCCCCTCTTCTCTCCTTTCCTTCTCTCCCTCCCTCCCTCCCTCCCTCCCTCGTTCGCTCGCTCGCTCTCGTGTGCCTGTTCTGCAGCTCAGTCAAGTACAGCCGCCCTCGGAAAGTGCAAAGCAGCCGCAAGACAGATAGGGCTTTGTTGCTAATTTCCCAGGGTGAAAATGTACAAGCCTGCGAGTGCAGTCAGCACAACCCCACGCATATGCTACTCGCAAACGCTGAGGACGACCCCCCCAATCCCCCCTCCGCATAAAAAGTGACCTCGGCGGGAGTCGACTCCGGGAAGGACCCTGCCTACCTCCTGGACCCGTCCAAAAGAAGTCCTGCGAAAGAGCTCCGGAGGAAAACGGTAGGGTTCCTAAAATAACAGGGGCATTTTGGAATAGGTGGCCACGTTGAAAGCAAACTGTCTTCCAGTGCCAGTTCTGAAGCTGCCAATTATGGAAATTAAAATAAAAGCAAGGGAGTCAAACTGCTACCAGAATACACTGGAAAAGCACACAACCCTCCCCTTTAAGAAATGTCTGGGGGTGGCTGCAGTCGCCCGGTTCTCTGACTTCTGTTAGTGAACTCTCCGAAGTCGCTGCTCCGCAGGGCAGGTCTGCTACACAAGCTGGGTCCAGAGATGCCACACTCCCCTTCCTCCTCTGGCCCAAGAACCAAACTGTGAACTTGTGCCCCATTAACTGATACTGAACATCTCTCCCATCCCCGCTGAACATTTCCTGCAATTACTTGAATTCCTCGCAATTTAAAATTCACAGACTAGAATGAAAAACAACCCAAGAGCACCTAGCAACATGTTTTTAAGCCTAACTTGGTCAAAGAGTCGTTGAGTGTCTCCACCATTACTGCTCAGTCTTCATAGGCTTGTTTTAGAGGCCTTGACAGATTTCTTTTTCCTTTTTATCCTTCAGAAAGATCCCCTTATCCCCCAAGCTCCTCTTCTCTTAACTTTACTTTGCATCTGTAAAGGCCACTGGCAGCTTTAAAATATCTTATTATTTTTCTAAGTTTTCAGACTTCAAAGTCATCCTCTTTTTGGGAACTATCATAGCATCGCCACCAGATTTTTAAAAGCCCTGTCAAAGGTCAAGCTTAAAAATAGTCCAGATTTGAATGACACTGGCTGAAATGTTTTAAGGGCCAAGAAAGACTCAATTGTTGAACTCCACAAAACTTTTTTTCTTCTCAGCACCATCAGTTTTAATCTAGTTCTAGTTTTAAAAAGAATCAATGCACCGCTCCCACCCCGTGAATATTCAGGCTAAATTATGCTTCTCTTTATAAAGAATAATGGTACAACATTGATAACTTATGTTTATCCCTTCCCTTTCTTAAAGGCTCATAATAAAATAGTATGGAGTTTGCTTTCTTCTCCCTCTAAAAGGCAACAAAATGCAGAACTAACCTGAAAAATACCGAAAGTCACAAACGGCAGATTAATAAGAACCCCTTCAGTGGGTTTGTTCTGTACATAGGCAGATCTCTTAAGTTTGGCTTTTCTGGCCGGTCTAAGCAGGCACACATGCACCTCACCCATCCGCGCAGCTCCCACTGTTCTACCCCACCTCTCTGCTCCAGCCACTCTGAGAACACCCCAGAGTGTGTGTGTGTGTGTGTGTGTGTGTGTGTGTGTGTGTTTCATGCGCTCTCCCTCTCAGCCAATGCACTGAGAAGAAGAAAAGAGGGAGGGAGGGAGAAGTATGTGTGGGGAAAGGGAGAAATAAAATCAAAACAAATGGTACAGCTAATGAGGACAATTAAATTAATTATGTTCAAGGAGATGAGATTTTTTTTCCCCTCCAACTGTATGATCTGTTACCCCTCGCTGGCAACTGCTGCTCTGTAATTCATGGCAACTGATTAGTGCATCTATGCAAATCTTTGTTTAAATCATTCAACTA